AAAAGAGAAACAGTATACAAATGGGTCTATTTCATCAAATTGGATCAGAGTTTTTAAATTATCACTTAAATAAATGTAATGAAAGAGTTCGATAAAGTGATTCGAACATCAAAAAGAGATGAAAAACACGAACGGTCTCTAAATAGTCCACAGCAATGTCATCTCGAGAAGCAAAAGGGTGCTTGAGATTTAGTAGCTCGGCCGTTTTCCTGGTCAACGGAGCATGCTCAAAGGATGAAATCTCTTCAGGAATAAAATCTCTTCCCGTAAGAGGATGCACTCATGACAATAAATGTAAGGACATTGACAAATTGGAAAAGGCAGTTTTCGTGGATCTTTACTAGTCATCTTGGAATCCATTTGACGTCATACGTCTACCAATGAACGTTAAGTATATAAATGAATTTACATCCTGTATAAAATTAGAGAGAAATTTTTTTTAATATAATTTAAAACGCATCACAGAGATTAAAAAGCACAGATAGATCTTTCATCTTTCGAACTTGAAAATTATATATAACCATAAAAAATATCGATGAATTTATCATTTTTATTAATTATAATACATCTTATTTTTATTAATAAAGTAGTAGCGCGTTAAATTGATTGGTTCCAGACATTGTTGCAATTGTAGAAAAATACACGAATGCTTTTGTCAAACGTAAAAGAATTATTTATTATCGTATAAAAATATAATTACACATTATATTTTTCAATTATTTCCAATAACCATCTACTTTTGTCACTTATGTACATACCTATAATTTGTAACTAATTTTAATGTTCTAATGTTCTTTTATTTATAATTTTTATTATTATAATAAATATTTATTATTATAATAATATATTATTTATAATCTTTTATAATTTCTTTTATTATTTTAATGTCTTTAATTCTAGTGTTAAAATCCAGAATCATTTTCACAAACATCTCTCGAGTTTCTCAACCTGATCGAATGCAAGACTGTGTCACCTACCATTGGACGAAGATTTAAGATAAGTCTCCTTCTTCATCGATTCTCTAAATCTAAATCGATTCGTGCACCGAAAAAAACGAAACCTGATCCCTGAGAATGTTCGATTACAAGGACAGATGTTACGCAAATGCTCATTTGACCAAGCAATCTTCCTAATCACGTGTATACCTAGGTGACCCAGTTATTATCACTCGATCCTTGAAACGAATAAGCTCCGCTCTGGAACTTTCTCGATAGAAGAAAAGTTTCTTCCATCTTTGTTTTTTAAGGAAATTAATCGATCTTAGAATAACATCGATGTAACTTCGATGTGAAACAAAAACGGCTAGATAGTCCGAAGTAACGAACGAATCGATGAATTTTTAAATAGGCGAGGTGGAAAGTTGGAGACGTGTCGGATGAAACTGATTTAAAAGTCTTTAACATTAAAGGATACTTTGCAACAACTTTGCCTCTTCTTAATTTGTTTTTCAACGGTGGTTTCTCTCGCGATCACTGTTGCTTGGAAAACGCGTCGATCATATTTTTTGTCTCGTTTTTTAATTAACGATACGGAAATATTTCGTTGATGATTGTTCGACGATGGATGTTCTTTCTCTTGTCTGACCTGTTTTTTTTGAACTATAATAACTTTATTCGCAATTTCAACTATCAAATTTTTCTCATCATTGATCCTGCAATCCTTGAATCAATTACTTTCTTTATTCCTCCGCTTGGAAGAAGATCTCAAAAATCTTCAGGTATCATCTCACTCTCATTGGAACATGTTCTAAAATTAAGAAGAGATTATTAAGAGATTATTATTATAAAATTAAGAAGAGATTGGTATTATTCAAAAGAAAAAAGAAATTCTAAGCCATAAATATTTATTATTATATAGATCTTATAAACTGAAGATCTGTCAGTAATTGTTTCAAAGATTCCAGGATCAACGATAGACAAAATTTAATTAATTGAAATTAAGAAGAAAGTTGCTTTAATAATTTGTTATTTATCCAAACAATAATAATAAATAACAAAAATAATAATGCCATTGTATAATAATTACGAATAAATGTCGTTCGTTCAAGCATTTTAATAATCAATTAAAAATAACTATATATTTCCACCACAGGATTTACTTATTCGATTAAACTCCGTTCAGAATAATTTCTCTGTCGAAAACGATATCTCGAAATATCGAAATTTTCACGGTGCGATTGTTTTCGAAGAGGAAGAGTGTGAAACGAGATGGGAAGAAATTTTCAATTTCTTAATCTCTTAATTAATCCTTGGCGAACAAACGGAGCTGTGCACGAGCTGGCGATCGAGCTTCGTTAATTATAAGTTGGAACTTGGGACGGCGAAGTTGCGCGTTGTCGATTAAGCTGCAAAGTTCGCTAAATAACATTAGAATGCCGGAAACACGGATGGCGAATGAGGCATGGACGGAGAGAAAGAGAAAGAGAGAGAGAAAGAGAAAGTTGGAGCCGGTGGACCCCGGCTTGTTGGACCAAGTTTAACCAAGGAAGTTTCGGGCCCGGTTAATTGTGTTAGTTCCGACACAACACAGGGGAAAGTATACGGTTCAGATATTGCAGAAACTTGCCGGTTAAAAGGGACAATTTCGGCTCGAGATTTCCAAGTTTCGAAACCTGTTACGAAAATACTGTATAGAAATTGCAGTATGGAGTATGAGTAATCTTTCCTCCTCACTCACAACACATATTTTTGAGCGCAAAAAATTTTTTACTTTTTTTTTTATTTTTTGAAAAAAAAGTATACCACATTTAAATATTCTCAAATATTACTAATTACTATATTTCTTATATATCTATTGTTACATAGGTTATTTCACGTTTTAATTATTATTTCTTGTATGAATAATAAAATTAAATCGATTAATTATTAAATATATAAATTTTGAGATTTTTAGAAATTCTATAATAACAATTTGTTCATACTTTTATTATGCGATACTTTCTTTTACACATTTATAAAACAATTAGAATTATATCCATAGTGTTATGATTTGATTTTAGTAAAATATTTTTATTTCTTTCGTTTTTTTTTTTAAGAAATCGGCTATACCAAAAATACTTGGCAGTTGAAGGGTTAATAATCAAACTCGAACAATTTACGAAGAAGAAAAGAGGCTCGCCCGATCCAGCTTACAAATTCTTGCGAAATGAGACAAGACGAGAAAGGAAGTAGGAATGAAAAGGGAGCGGAAATCCTGCGACCGTTCTCGAAACTCTGGTGGAAAGAAATTTTCTGGAAAAGAAAAAAAAAAATAGATACGTTATACTCTTGTCGACCTCTCTCTCTCTCTCTCTCT